TGGTGTCTAATGTTGCGCAAAAGACACCACCTCCCACTCGATGATCCAGTTTGGATCCATCCGTGTAGAAGCTAATTCCTGTATTCCTGTCCACCTCGCCCCTCTTCCACTCCTCTCTTGTGGGGAAGGCAATATTGTGGACCGAATTTAGTTTCCGTTCTATTGGATTGTGGAAATCCGTGGTTTTGGGTAGGGACGGGAATATACTAAGTATCCTTGAATGCCCCTTGTTGCATGCGACTAGCTGGGAGGATTCCCTCAGTCTAACTGCTGATTTTGCTGCCACTTGCTTACAGAACAGGTCTGTTGACAGTAAATGCAAAATGACGTTTAGAGCTTGGCTTGGCGTTGTTCTAAGAGCTCCACTAACGCATATACTGGCTGCTCTCTGTATACTTTCCATACATTTTACCGCGTATTTCTTTTCCATTATTGGCCACCATACCAATATACCGTATGTCATGATTGGTCTGACAACTGCTGTATAGAGCCAGTAAGTTACCCGAGGCGTAAGACCCCATTTGGGGCCCACCATCCTTTTACAGGTGTAGAGGGCTGTGGCTGCCTTCTTCACCCTAGCATCCAAGTTTTGTTTCCATGAAAGCTTCCTGTCTAAGATTAGTCCCAGGTAGATTGCCTTATCTCCAATTGTTAGTCTGCAACCATTTATTATTGGCGCAGTAACTTCTGGAGCTCTATGTTTTCTGGTGAACAATACAAGCTCTGTCTTACCAGCATTTAAGTTTAATCCTCACGATACTGCCCAACGATTTATATCGTTCAAGATCGTTTGCATAAGCATTGCAAGAGTATTCGGGAATTTGCCTCTGACCGATACTGCCACATCGTCAGCGTAGGCCACAACATGTACCCCCTTCTTTTCTAGATCCACCAGCAACTTATTCATTGTCAGGATCCAGAGAAGTGGGGATAACACGCCTCCTTGAGGTGTACCTCTTTGGACAGATCTGCACATCGTTGACGCTCCCATTGTTGAAATTATTGACCTGCTCGTGAGCATCTGTTCAATTAATTTCCTGAGAGGTTCAGAGATGTCCAGATCCTTAAGCGCACTCCTTATGGCCCCAGGCTGGATATTATTGAAGGCTCCTTCTATATCTAAGAAGGCAAATAGTGTGTATTCTTTAACTTCCAGAGGTTTTTCAATCTCCGCCACCACAGAGCTTAGTGCTGTTTCTGTGGATTTTCCTTTGGAATACGCATGCTGCGAATCAGCCCACTTTTCTGATTTCAGTTTATTCCTTATATGTAATTCTATTAGTCTTTCCAGAATTTTTAGAAGGAATGAGGAGAGGCTAATTGGCCTAAAGTCCTTTGGACTTGTATGCGAGCTTTTGCCTGCCTTTGGTATGTATATTACCTTGACTTTCCTCCAAAGCGAAGGGATGTAGTTTAAATGCAGCGCCCCCTTAAGAATGTCAATTAGCCAATTCATTATGTAATTCTGCGAATGCTGCAATTGAGCCGGGAATATACCGTCTAGTCCCGGCAACTTGAAGGGCTTAAAGCTGTTTATTGCCCAGCGTAAGTTGCTTTCTGACACTATGTTTCTAAGAGTGGAGTTCATTTCTGCTCCTCTGTCTTGAGTATATTCTGCAGCATGGCTTTCAAAGCTGCCTGGGAAGTGGGTATCCATTAGTAGCCCCAAGGACTCTTCACTGTATACCGTCCAACTTCGGTCTGGCTTCTGAAGATAACCGATACTATGCACCGATTGTGCCATTATTTTAGTAAGTCGAGACGCTTCCGTCGTGTTCTCGATATCATTGCAAAAAGATTTCCATGAATTTCTTTTTGCTCTCCTAACTTCCTTTTTGTATGACCTAAGGAGGTTGTAATAATAATCCCAGTCTGACTCGCCTTGGGATTGCTTAGCTAAATTGAACTGCTTTCTGTATTCTTTCTGTAGCTTTTTAAGTTCTGGAGACCACCAGGGGGGCCTTATTCTACCCCTGCTTCGTGTTATTGGACAAGCCACTTCTAGTGCTTGCCGACACGATTCCGTGAGTCGATTAACGAGGATATCTAGATCCTCCTTGCTATTGGGCTGAAACGGTAGAATCATAGGAATACGTTTTTCTAGCTCTTACATATGCACCTGCCAGTTCGTTTTCCTATGATTCCTAAAGTGAATGCCTCTATCAGCCCTTTCCTCTATTGTACATTCAATACATCGGTGATCCGAAAAGGAATGTTCTTCGAGAACCCTCCATTGGGTTACCCTGTCAATTAGTTCTTCCGACACAAGTGTGATATCCAGCACTTTTAGTCGGTTTCTTGTAATAAATGTTGGCGTGTTTCCCTTATTACACACCAGTAACTTAGTACCTAGTAGGTAATTAAAGAGACACTCACCTCTGTCATTGACATCTGTGCTGCCCCAGATTGTGTGATAAGCATTTGAGTCGCATCCAAGTATCGTCATGCACTTGGATGCCTCGCTATCCCATACCACCTCTTTTACCATCAGAGGTGGCACCAGTTCCTGCTCATATGGCATATAGCACGACACTAGCCGGTAACTGCTTGTGCCCGTTTCCCAGCTTACTGCTGCTGTGTCGTTGTTGCTATCACATATTATCTATATTCTTATTTTTTTTAATTTTATTATTATTATTATTTTTTTTTTGTTCACTCCATAGTGCCGTTCCCTATGGCTCGAAGGACCAATAATTAATTGTTTCGATTGCACACTCACCTTTTGCACTTATTTGCACCAATGTCTCGATCGCTCGAATTGTTAACGAAAAAGAAAAAAATCTGGTCCTCTGTTAGTCCCTTTTGAGTGTTGGATTGTGTTGAGTTGTGGTGTGTTGGCGCGCAGTGGCATCTAGCCACGTACATACATAACTTTTCTTTCACTTCAATTATTATTTTCACTCGTGTACTCAAATCTGGTTGTTCAGAGCACATTTATTTATACTAATTTCTTATGCTAAATCACGTATGTAACATACATAGCTGTGTTATATCGAGATGGTATAATATAATTATTTGTTAATAGCAAAAACATTATTCCATAACCAAAATTGCAAATATAGCGTTTTTGATAAACCATTTTGGTGAATATGAACTATCGTTATCCTAACTCACCACAGGCGGCCTTATTGGTTTTTCTATGAATCCTCCGCTCTGAAGGTGAAAATTGGGACACTATTACCTTATACAACGATTTTGCTTCGTGTATGAAATATTTATATTAAAATCAACTTAATTTACTAAAGTTATATACATACATATGTGATATAAACTCAACCAAAGGGACTAAATATATTGGGTATATAATTGGAGGTCATTGTATAAGTGATGCGTTTGAAGCAATGTCTAGACCAAATTTAGCGCTTAATCTTATTATGGTTAAGAAATCCACTTAATTTCATTATCACACATTTTGGCAAACATCACCGGTTTAATGCCAGATGGATCAAAATGGTTGGAGTAATTCTTGGACCAATTTTAGCATTTTGAAATTAAGTCGTGTATGTCCAATATTATATGTCCACTTAACTTTCCTAAGTCCTCTTACATATTGACCGATGTACATGTTATAAGCACGTAGTTACAGGTTGGTTGAAAAGTTTCTACGCTCGAAATGAAAAAATACTGTTTTTGGTACAAAATGTATTTTTTTATTCAATATAATCTTCCTTAAATTCAAATAACTTATTCCAATTATCATCCAATAATTGTATACCATTCCTATAATGACTTTCCGGAAGCTCTGTAAAATACCCGTCTACGGCTGTAATAGCTACTTCATTCGACGAAAAACGCTTTCCACGAAGGAATTGTTTCAGGTTTCTGAAGAGGTAGTAGTCGCTGGTTGAATACGGTGGCACTTTAACTCGTTTCATTTTGTCATTGTTAAAACACCTTTGTGAGCAGGTACATTGTCTTGATGAAAAATTATTCTTTTATGCTGCAAACCAGGTCTTTTCTCACGAATGTTTTACCAATATTAATATATTAAACCAAAAAAATATTGAAACCACTTATGGCCGTCTCTACCTTGATACCTGTATTTACAGTTTTGATTTTAATTCGGAGCTAAGTTATAGCAGTTAATAAGTTTTTGATTAATAACATTTTTCTGGGCGTGGCAATTTGCGCTTATCTGAAATACCAACTTTCTTATGGTGCTAAGTTTCATCAAGATATCTCAATTTTTCATGTTTAAGTCTATATGTATCTTTCTCGATAAGTATTAGGTGATACAAACAACCAAAAGGTGAGCAAAACTATCATACTCTGTAGCAACATGTTGCGAGAGTATAAAAATTAATTATATGTATGATTACTAGTAATTTTTAATAGCTGTAACTACTCTTTTTGTAACGATATATTAATACTTTGCCTTAGGGTTTAGTAAAGGTTTAAGAATGTAAAATGTTTTTTGTTTTTATTTTAATTTAAATATAAATATTTAAAATAAATGTAAAAAAAAAAATAATTTGATCAAGAGGGCTCATGTTTGGTGGGCATAGAAACATTTGAGAGGGTAAGTGTTGAAAAAAGAAATATTAAAAATTAATTTTTTTTGTTGAAGAACCCTATTGTAAATATGTATATACTTGTATGTATGCATGAATATATTAATATTTATTTATTTTTTTGTTATGACAACAACATTATAAGCTTAACTGTTATTTTCCCGAATTCTATACAGTCAATTACTCAAAAACGCATAAAATGGAAATAATCGAGTTCTTGCAACATACGAATCATCGTAACTTGAAATCCAATATTAAATCTATGGTAAATCTAGTACAGATAACCCAGAATCAATCAATTGTCAGCAGTTGAATTTCATAAAGTAATTATTGATTATATACACTTCCAATTCAGGTTAAAGTCAGGTTACGAAGGATAAACGATGATCTTAATGAAAGGAGATTGTTGTTAGTATTCACTTGTGTATATGTATTTACATATTAATATTTTATCACCGGTTTGTATTTGCATGAATGTACATTCGAATGTATTTATGCATGCAGGTTACGATATAATTTAGAGTGTGAGAATTTAAGATATTCCGAGGAATTGGCATTGTTCATGAAGAATCGTATTGAGGAAGCAGCCAGAAAGAGAGAGCAATGGTTTGGTATCCAGAGAATACAGCGGGAGCATGACAAAGATAAATTTCTTCAACTTAAGGCTTTGCAGAGAGAAATGTACAGTTAAATATGACATAAAATATTAAATTGTGCACATTAAGATTTTTGTTATGTATCTAAATGGAATTTTATATAGGGAAAACTGTGAAGCAACGAGGCATTGGCAAAGCAAAGTGATGCTATTGGATACCAAACAAGCCCAACTGCATCAAATCAAGGAAAAAGAAGCAATACGACAAAGAGAAAAGCAGATCGAATTGATATGGAGAGACGTCACTCTCCGATATAACGAAGAAAAAGTAAAACTAGCCTTTTCCTTCTGCAAGGACTTCACTAAAAATAATTTTGTGTTTCTCAACATATAAATATATAATATATTAATTACATATGTATGTGTATATAGGCTAAGCAAGATGTTGTGGAAGCGAAATTGCTCAAAACCATTGCAAGAATCAATCAGAACATTAACATACAACATGAGGAATGTCAGAGCAAGAACAACAAAGTTGCAGAACAAACAACACATGAACAGTTCGTTAAGGAGTAAGTATTTTACGAATTATTAATCTTTTTTACATACTACTACAAATATTTTGTATATATTTTATACATTTATACCCTAAACAGGGTTATTATATTATATTAAGTTTGCCACGAAGTTTTGTAACACCCAAAGGAGAAGTCGGAGACCCTATAAAATATATGGTATGAATATGTATATATGTATATAAGAAAATGGTCAGCTTGACGAGCTGAATTGATTTAGCCATGCCCGTCTGTCTGTCCGTTTGTTTGTATATACGCGAACTAGTCCCTCAGTTTTTGAGATATCGATCTGAAATTTTGTTAACGTCTTTTTCCCCTCAAGAAACTGCCGATATCGGAACGAAAACTTTTTTATTCCATGAGATATCTTCACGAAATTTGACATGAGTTATTGTTTAATTCAATAATTGTAATTGTAAAGAATCTTTTGTATTTCTGAAGGGTATTATAGCTTCAGTGCAACCGAAGTTAACGTTTTTTGTTGTTTTAAAGTAAAATATTGCCAAATATGTTGGTATGTCAGCTATATGCTATAGTTGTCCGATATCAGTGGTTCCGACAAATAAGAAACTTTTTGAGAAGAAAAGGATGTGTGCGAAATTTCAGAACGATATCTCAAAAACTGATAGATTACGTAGCACGTAGCTAAATCGACTTACTTCTGTACGTTGATTATATACATATGTATGCACATATATACTTTATAGGACCTCCGACGTTGCCTTGTGGGTGTTACAAACTTCGTGCCAAAACTTATATATCCTGCTCAGGGTATAAATATCAACTAAAATGCTTTAAGCCCGTGATCGGCAATTAAGTAACTCTCAACATGCACTCATTTTCACATTATTAATAGTTTGGTACACACATTTTACATATTACTGGTCCCGAACTTTTCAGTCCAAGTGAGTTCAGGATCATCACTGACTTCTTAACAACGGTTTTTATATGGCAATAGCGCGCAAAAAGTTTTCAAAAGCTCCTGTTCAAATTAACTACAAATTTTTATAACTCTCGAGTAATAAAAAAACATTAACGAAAAAGAAAAGTACACAGTTGTATTTTCATTTGCGTACTGGCTCGAAAAAAGGTCCAAAAAGAAAAAATATATATTTATATGTATATTAATATACATAACGCAAGCATAATCAAATAATATATATTGCTTTCAATGTAGTCACAGAAGATATTATTTTCCTAGCTACCAATTTTTTGAGTCTTTTTTACTGTGTCAAGTTTATTCAAGTTGGAACTGAAACAACAACTGTTACTCCTTGTAACGAAAGCAATCAACTTCGTATAACACTTCATTTTACTGTTTAAACTTATATATGTATACTTACCCTGCCATAAGTTCTTTTACCAGTTCAAGCCCTTATAAAAATGAAACTATAATGCATAGAGTTAATTTTATTTAATAATGCATATATTAAAAGAGCGATTTTTATTTCAAATGGTCACATTTTACTGTCACACAAGCCCTCAAACAATTCGGCAATTGATTAATAGCAGTACGCACAGTTTCTATTGGTATTGACAGCGCTGCTCGAACCAAAATTTTTTGAGGCTCTTTAATTCTGTGCTTTATTCGACAGACCATGTTCTAAAACTCTGACCACAAACTATGAAACTAGGAATATTGGCCACTTCTGGGGTTTTGCCTTGTGTGCTGGAGTAGAATCTTGCTGGAAAGAAACAATGCTCTCCATCGAAGAGAGAGAGAGAGTATTGCTTAATTACCCTACTATACCTTCTAAACATCCTACTAGTACACTTTTACCACAGTTTTAACCCCTTTTTTACAAAAATTAAAAGGTGTAACGGTTTACAGGAGACTTACCACCAAACCATTAGCTGGATAGTAACCACGTTGAACCCTTAGAATAAAATTTTTTTCCTCTTTGGAAGTTTTTGCGTAGATTTTGTTTTCGTCACTTCTTCAACAGTGGAAAGTAAGAAAGGAAAGTTTCTCATCCGTAAAAAGTATACTTTCAGGGCAGTTGACCGAGTTAATGACACATTCCTTATGACATTCACCCACCCAAATGCATGTGTGTAGCATATCTTAACATGCATTAACGCGAACTGCAATGGATGAACATAAGAACAATAAAAATACACTATACAACTTGTACATATGAATGTAACATGATATTGTTAACAAGGCTGACTTCGACAACGTACTACTGCAAAGCATAGATAAAGAGATGCCCAACTCATCTCTCACTGGAAATGAGAGCGCAATTGCTAAACGTCAAAACCTCCTAAACTCAGTCAACTGTCAAAGTTCAGGCGGTTTTGACGTTTAGCAATTGGAAAAAGGGGGACGGCTAGACTGAAATCCTACAAAGAAATAGATTTGTTGCCGCTGTTGAAGATCACTATCAAAAATTGGAAAACAATGAAAATTAAAGAAAACGCGAAATTGAAATGTACATAGTATTTGTACATATGCATTTTCAATAGAAATGATTAAAAATATTTATATATACATATATAGTATTTAAAGTTCAAAAATCAAATGTTTTAATTTATAACAAATTTACAAAAAAAATTTTTAAATAGTTTCTCCATATGTGTAAAGGATACGTATATAATATTATTCTTAATAAATGTTGGCTATTTTAATTTAAATGCCCAATTTATTATTTTATCCGATCTGGCTACTATGTTATAAAAAACGCTAATTTTGAAGCACCTTCAGACTGGAAGAAGTGGGACATCCCTTTATCCCTGCTAAAAAGTATCAATAGAGTATGAATACAGTCAATACGTCGTCGGTATGCAACGTGAAACAATATTGCAAAATGATGCGATGTATATTTTGCTGTTACTGAACACGTTTACTGCAATTTTTATTTTCGCAAGAAGCTGTTTGTTTTTGTGAGCTTATTTAGATTAAAAAAATTTAAAATTAAAACCAAATAGTTAAAAATAGATCATTTCATCCGTTTCATCAAAAATACAAGCACAATATCATTAAAATATGTAGGAAAATATATAATATTCTTGCCATCATACATTATTTGTCATAACCTCTAAATTTAATACAAATTAAGCATAAAGTAATAAAACAACTAATAACAAGCTTTATAATATCACTTCGCCTTCGTTGTATGTCTAAAAGCATTAATTATATTTTTTATGCGCGAGTTTCTCTGCACATCGACTGCCGGTTTAATGCGTTTCAAAACATGATGCAAAAAAACATGTCAAAAATATTTCGTTTGCATTAAAGAACATTATACTTTGTTCTTATACATTGCAATAGACGTTTTCGAAGTCAGCCCAACTATCAACTATTAATAAGTACACACACATTTTAGTATAAATAGCACTAATGCTTCAATTACCATCCGTAACGTGGCATTTCCGCGAAAATTGGATTTTTTCCGCAGAAACGAGTCAGCCGATTGTATTTTTACAACGCAGGGTTGCCAGTTTCGATATTTTGTAGTAATTAAAAAAACACTTGAATGTATTTGAAATATTCTTAAAGTAACTCAAAATCACAGTCGAATACAACCATTTATAAATAGGAAGACTATTTTTACTAGTTGGATTTTAGTTTTCATCTCTTATATTATGAAAAATTATAACTGAAAAGCTAAATGTGTACAAAACCATATATGTATATAAATTGAGCAATGGCAACATTGCATCTGTTCAGCTTCAAGAACGTTGCCAGAAGATGACCAGTTTTTTTTGGCAGAATTGGCTCGAACCACGCCATCAAATGTAGATGTTTGGAAAACACGATCAAAAACATGCTGCGGTAAACGAACATTCTTGCAATATTAAATTTTTTGAGAAGTTCAAAAATTTCACTTGTGTTTTTCATACCCTGAACAGGGTATATTAAGTTTGCCACGAAGTTTGTAACAACTAGAAGTAGACATCGGTGACCCTATAAAGTATTATGTATAAATGATTAGCATGACAAGATATATTGATTTAGCCGTGTCCGTCTGTCTGTCCATCCGTCCGCCAGTCTGAAAATCTATCTAGAAAACTTGTCATCAACTTGTCGGAAATCATTATAACATATGGGGTATATTGGGAGCAGAGAAAAGGACCGGTGGGTATATTAGATTTATTTTTGTCACACATACTATTAACATGCCACTTACTAATAAAAATGCTCCCTGGGTTTCATTAAGGTATCTCACATACCATCACCAATCTATATGAAGTAAAGTCAGCCGGATGTTCGAAAATTTTGATATTAATTATATAGGGGCTAGGTCAAGTTTTCATCCGATTTTATTAATTTTAGGCACAGATACGCTGTTGTTAGTAAAACACCCTCTCTCATTTTCATAAACTGAGATAACTCACATATTGGTCGATATGGTATACTCTATAAATTAACCCGGTAGTTTGAAAATCTTTATATTAGGTATATGAGCTAAGGGAAGTATTGACCTGATTCAGCCCATCTTTAATATTCAGACATACTCCTAATAGGAAATTATTCTCCCGAATTTTAATTATAAATCGCACACATTGACCGATATTTTCGATTAAAAGTCAACTATAGGCACTGGGGTCTACATATATGGTACCTAGGGGCTTGAACAGTTTTGACCAAATCCTTACTTTACCTTAGCGTTTATTTAATGGCTTAATATAAATTTTAAGAAAACTTATCCACTTAATTTCATTAAAGTATCACATAATTTGACTAAGCAAAAGTTGGAAATCACTATACAGGGTATATTGGGGGCAGAGAGAGGTACAAGCTTGTTGCATTAACATTTGACATTGTTGAGATATATAATACATGATAACACATTTTCGAGCAATTTTATAAATAAATAACTCACACAATGACCGACATATTCGGCATAAGATTTGTATAAATAACAAACATAATTTTATGTACATAGTTTATGGAAATTTGGTATTTCGTATACTAAATTTACATATTTTCGGCGTTAGACTATGGTGTACCCAATAGTATTCGTTCACTTAAGTTTTCTAACGATATCGTACATATTGACCGATATGTGCGGAATAAAGCCAACCGAAAGTATGAAAATCTTATACTAGGTATATGAAAGATAGGAGTAGAATTAACCTGATTTGATAAATTTTTGATATTGCTACATACTAATGGAAAAACTGCTCTGTGAATTTCATGCAGGTATCTTACATAACATTAACAATTTATAAGGAGTAAAGTCAATCGGATGTTTGAAAGTTTTCATCCGATTTTATCAAATTTAGGCACACAGATGCATCGTTATTAGAAAAACACTCCCACTCAATTTCATTAATATTATTAACATATTGGCCGATATATGGGGTATAAAGTCAGCCGGAAGTTCGAAAATCTTTACATTAGGTATATGGGGGCTAAGAGAAGTATTGACCCGATTTAACCCATTTCTGACATATAGACAAACTGTTATCAGGAAAGGATTCTCTCCGAATTCCAGTAATATATCTCATACATTGAACGATAATTTCGGTACAAAGTCAACCATCATGCTTGAACAGTTTTGGTTCGATTTGGGCAGTTTTAGTCATAAGGTGGCACACTTCAAAGACACTATTCGTGCGAAGTTGTATACCATTATATAATATTAATTGGTGCTTTATTTGTAAACTGGAATATAAATGAATCAGATGAAATTTAAACTTGTGTTGCATGAGAAGTAGGTGTGGTTGTAGTCCGATTTTCTCCATTTTCGCACTGTAACATGATAATATTAGAGGAATCTTATGTACGGAATTTGGTTGAAATCGATCGAACTCGTCGTTAAATTTTAGTACAGGGTCTTACAGGTCCCCTTGTGCCATTCTGGATGTAAAATGTACTGTTTCTGACGCATGTAGTTATTGATTTAATTCACTTTTAGTAGTTTTTAACAAAATCGTTATATGGGGAATGGGCGGAGTTATCATCCGATTTCATCTATTTTCACACTATCTTAAGGAGGGTTGAAAAACTGTTTCCTGTGAAAATTTGGGTGATATAGCTTTATTGGTTTGGAAGATATATACATTAAACTAATTAGGAAGCCTGGCCACGCCCTCTTTTAAAAATTTTTGAAACCATAGGTGCCCCTCCTTAGTGTGAATCGTTGTATCAAATTTGCGTTCTGTATATTGATTTATGGCTTAGTTATGGCACTTTAAACGTTTTCGATTAATGACGTTTTGTGGGCGTGGCAGTGGTCTGATTACACATTTTCGCTAAGGAACATGTGTACCAAGTGTCACCAAGATATCTTAATTTTTACTCAAGTTACACCTTGCACGGGCAGACGTACGGACTGACAGACAGTCACCCGGATTTCAGCTCGTCTCGTCATCCTGATCATTTATATATTTATAACCCCATATCTATATCGATTAGTTTTAAGTGATAGTGATTCTGTAGCAACATGTAGCAAGAGTATAAAAATTAAGAAATTTGAGATTATATATGCATAAAACTAGCAATTTTAACCTCGTTTTTCATTCAAATATTATTCACTTTAAACCTCTTTAAAACTCCTCTTTGCTGATCAAACATTATATGGCTCTTTATTATTTAAAAGTCCTTTGCACGACAATATACTTACATATATGTATACATATTAAGAATAGTAGAAGGATTGCGCACAATGAAATTGGTGCATATATTACAATTTGTCAAATTTTTTAAATTATTTTTTTTTCCCATGAAGACGGCTTTGCAAAATATAAAAAAATGCTCCTGCCAAGATTGAATAGAATTCGATACGTATTGCTTTCAAAATTATTAGTCAATTAGAAGTGCGCGAAAAAATTATTCGATTTGATAACGAAAATCCAAATTGGAATGAAAAGAACTGCTTGTTAAAAAAGAAAGTTTCCAGAAATACCGTGTCGCGTGTTGTTAAAACGTTCAGCATAGACCTGACCTTCAGTAGGAAGCAAGGAAGTGGTAAAACGAAAGATTTTAAGAACCCTGGCGCTTTTTACAAAAAATCCCAACATATCGAGGAGAAAAGTAGCGGAAAAACTAGGGGCTTAAAACTTTTGTCAGATAAGTTTAAAAGGAGGAATGCTTAAGTCATACAAAGTTCAGAAAGTTCCAGACAGAAATTCCAAAAAGAACAGCAAAACGGCAAAAGATCGAGCAAACGGCTTCACTTTGATTTCTTTAAAAAATTTGACTGTTGCATTATGGATGATGAAACGTATGTACTTGGGGACTTTTGTCAGCTTCCAGGTATGGATTTTATGTTGCAGATCATAGAGAGAATGTCCAAAAGGAGTTTGAAACAAAAAAAGTCAAAGTTTCCAAAGAAATTTTTGGTTTGGCAAGCCATTTGTACCTGTGGTAAAAGAAGCAGCTCTTGTTACAACTGGAACTATCAACACTGATTTAGACATCCAGGAGTGCTTGCTTGCGGTTTTGCCATTCATATAACGGCATGAGGTGTCCACATTTTTTTTGGCCTAATTTGGCTTCATGCCATTATAGCAAGTCGGCAGTTGAGTGGTATGAAATGAACAATATGGCTTTTGTGCCAATATATGCAAATCCACCTAATTGTCCGGAGGTCAGACCAAGATATTGAGTGTTGTTAAAAAGGATTAAGAAGAGCACAAAACCAGTTTGCTGACACCACTAAAATTTTTTCGAAAAAATGGTTTTCATCAAGCAAACTAATTACGGAAGATACTATTAGGAGGCTAATGGGAGAAATATTAGAAAAAATTAAATTATTTATAAAAAATAAATAATCTGCAAAATGTTTTTAATAAATGTTAACATGAAAGGAATTTCTGTTAAGAAACTGTTTTTTATATTTTTAATACATGAATTATTTCAAAAGCTATTTAAATTGTTTCGTGCACTAATTTCATCATGCGCAAGCCTTTAAAAGTAAGTTAATTTCGCGGCAGAGCTCTGCGCTAGTTAAATTACAAATACGGAACTATTTTGACTGAGACCATGTTTAATGGAATGAACGTTTTAAGACTCTAAGTGTCAACATATTTCATTGCGTTTCAATAAGATCGGGGTCGCAATCGACCCGAGAAGACGTATCGGTAAATATTCTGTTCATAGTAACTTCGACGGTGTATTAATTTGATTTGAATTTTTGTTTTTTAATTTTTCCAAACTCTTTCATTTTTCTCTCAAACGCCTTTCCTGATTAAGTTGGTTGCCCAAGATTCTTGAATAATACCTTCATACAATATTACAGAGAAATGGTTTACACACTAATGAACGAATCATATCTTGCACGAATGAAGATTGCGGAGAAAAATAAGAAGTTGTTTCAGCAAAAAGAGCAAACGGTAGATAATAATTAAATATATTTATCATAGGTACATGTTAAGAAATTTTTCTAAATGTTTAATTTCAGGAACAAATTACAGAAAATCAGATAAAACGTTGGAAAAATAGAAAACTCTTGTTCGATGATGAAGTGAAAATTATGGAAAATTGTATTAATGAAATATTGAATAATCAACAAGAAGTGGAGAAAAGAAAGGTGGGTAACAAAACTTAAAATTTTTTATTTATTATTGAATTGAGTTCATTAATAAACAGTTTGGTCAAAGGTTAAAGTATATCCTAAATTAAATATACGTACCTTCATACAATATTTCGGAGGATGAGTTCGTAGATGGGCGTAATCGGACCACTCCCACGCAAACAAAACGCCATTAATTGAAAACTTATAAAGGAGCATCTGTGGGCTCAAAATGTTGAAAAAAATGAGTGTGTCCCCGCCCTATAACAAGTTTTATATACATATCTCAAATTCGTTAAGGACAATTCCATTAAGAACCCATACCGACAGTGTGAAAAAAGATGAATTAGGAGTATAACCCTGCCCTCTACGTATACAACGGTTTTACTAAACGCGCCATAAAACAATAATTAAATGCCCCAGAGATTTTATACCAGATTATACAAGAGGGATTTATAGGAGTCAGGGTCAAAATTGGACGATAGGCGTGGCACCTCCCACAATTAGGAAAAATCACATATCTTCGAACCTATCGGATTAATTTCAACCAAACTCGATACATTACATTATCCTGACGCTCCAATGTTACAGGCGCAATCGGACTACAACCATGCCTACTTCTCATATAGCATAATTTTAAATTCGATATGATTCTTTCACTTACCATTTTGAGTGTAAAAATTGTCAAAATCGGATCATAACTATTCAAGCCCCCACAAATTAAATATGTGGAGCCCAGTGCGAATGGTTTTTTGCGAAAATACCAGTCAATCTGTGAGATACAGGTTGGTTGAAAAGTTATTATTTTCACAAAGAAATAGCACTACTAGCTCCAATTTCTTTCCTCAAGTTGGTACATCTGTCGTGAGAACACATGCAAAGTTACAAGTCATTCTGTCAATTCTTTGTTTACAAGTCATTTGAAATTGACGTGCGAATGTGTTTTTTTAATATGGAAAAAGTTGAAGATTCTTTGTTTTGAAAGGTTTAAAAGCAAAGGAAAAAACCAAACCAGAAATCATTGAGCAAATTCATAATATTGTTAGTATAGGTCCAAGTTTGACTAAGCGTGAAATTGCTAATACCATAAGCGTACTCAGACGAACGAGTACTTCATATTTTACATGGAGAATTACATATGAAAAAGCTGTGTGGAAAGTTAGTGGCGCACACGTTAACAATTCAACAAAAACTGAATCGAAAACAAATTTCTCAGCATAATTTGGAGCGTAGCAGAATAAAATCGATTTCTTTCGTCATTTTATAACTATGAGACTTGGATCTAACACCATGATCCTAAATTGAAACAAGAACGTTTACAGGGGACTGAAGCTGGTTGTTCAGCTCCAAAGCGGGTGAAGTCACAACGATCAGCAAAGAAGGTTATGGCATCAGTTTTTTGGGATGCGAAAGGAATTTTGTTGATTGGTATTGGTATTCACCAAATTAAAGTATGAACTGCTTGCGCATCTACCATATTCACCAGATTTGGCTCCCAGCTACTGTATATTATTAAAATTCAAATAGGTAAATGTATATTCTATAATAATATACTCTTGTGCTAGAAATGGGTTGAATCGGGTCAATACTTGCCCCCATATACCTAATTTAAAGATTTTCGTACTAGCAGTTAATTAATACAACATATATCGACACTTTAGGAGTTATTTTAATAAAATTGAGAGAAAGCGGACCGCTTTTCTTCAACTGCATTGTTTAATTTCGTTAGTTGTTCAATGTAGACAACAGAATTGATCGTTCGGTTGGGTGGTAAGAGTTCAAAGTAGACAATTCCTTTATAATCCCACCAAACTGATAACAAAACCTTCTTTTGATGAATACCAGCTTTTGATGTTGTTTGAGCTGGTTCACCTGGCCTTTTTCCGCATGATATTGTTGTAAACAACCCATTTTTTATCGCCAGTTATCATTCGTTTTAAAAATGGATAATTTTCATTACGTTTCTTTAGTAAATCGCAGCTGTTAATGCATTGCGTTAAATGCGTTTTTTTGAGTTCGTGAGGAACCCATGTATCGAGTTTTTGAACATAGCCAAGTTGTTTTAAGTGTTTTTAAATGCATGTATGTGATACTTGAAGCTTCTCTGCAATCTTAATTGTTGTACTGTGACGATCCGAATCGATTATTGCTTTGAAAAGGTTGTCATCAACTTCAACTGGACGACCAGAGCGTTTTTCATCTTAGAGTGAAAAATCACCAGAACGAAATTTGGCAAACAATTTTGACACTGCCGTTCTTTTATGGCTTCGTCGCCATAAACAGCACATAACTTTTTGTGAGCTTGCGATGCGTTTTCCCCTTTGCGAAAATAAAAAAGCAAAATATGACGAAAATGTTCCTTTTGATCTTCCATTTTTCAACGAACGGCAAACGAAAACTACGCAACCGATCAAAAAACTTTATTTTACTGATTGACAGTTGAATTGCCAATTATCAAATAACAAAATGTGTTTTACATTTGGCCTACGGCAGCAAACCTAAAAATTCAACTGAAGCCATCTATGAGTGAAATTACTTAGTTGCCAACCCAATATAACTAGTTTTAGGATGATGTTGGTATAATTTTCGCTGACGTGAAGTAAAATAATATAATAAAACTGAGTCTATGACCTTCAGAATATGGTCCCAAATTGGATTGTAATCCATTCACTATTTCGTCGGTTAATGAAGTTGAACACTTTCTCTACATTTTTTTTATACTCTTGCAACATGTTGCACCCTCTAAAAGGTTTAATGTACATATCTCCCAAACCACTTAAGGTACAACTACCAAATTCGCTGAAGACAAATCCCTTAAGCACCCCTACCGACACTGTAAAAATACTAAAATAAACTACTAAAAGTTCGCTGAATCAATAATAAAATTAAATTAAAATTATTTTCCAAGATGGCACAGGAGCGCTTTATAAGAGCAGGTATCAAAATTAGATTAAGGTCATGGCCCCACCCACATTTAGGTGAAATCAACTAATATAATAGGTCCGAAGATACCTACTTGACCAATTTCAACCAGATTTAATGCAAAAGATTATTTTAACATCTTACAGTGGAAAAAACGTTTACTTCCCATATATTACAACTTTAAATTTTATCTGATTTTTTCACTTTCAAGTATACAAATCAAGCACCAATAAATATATCGGGATAAAACTGTGCACGGATATTGCCTTTAAGATATGTTTTCTCAGGTCTAAAAATTATCAATATCGGATCATAACTATTCCAGCCCCCAAAAGCCTATGGCTGACTTTGGACCTAAAATATCGGTCAGTGTGTAAGATATGTATAAAATTGAAATTAGGAGAGAGTCCTTTCCTACTGATAGTATGTCTGCATGTCAAAAATGGGTTGAATCAGGTCAATATTTACCTTATCCGCTGTGTGCCTAAACTTGCCCTAGTCGCCATATAACTAATATCAGGTTTTTCAAACATCCGGTTGGTTTTACTCCTTATATTATATATTGTTGATAGTAAGTGAGGTACTTTATTGAAACTCATAACCCTAATATCATCAATTCCGATCCTCTAGTTGACGTTTTCCACATCATCTCAATATATTAAATTAAGACTCTTCGATTAAGTTTATGTCAGATATATATATATATCATTTCACGATAATTTTAATATAATCTTCCCTGACGGGAAGAAAACTATAGTTAACAAGTAAGGAATAAGTTCGGATACAACCGAACATTTTATACTCTCGCAAAGTCAAATATACTGGTTTGAGATTTCTTTATATATTTTAATAATTAAAAGTAGTACCTGTTACCTCAGTTATTTACATCCACAATAAAATTAATTAGAGCAATTTGTAAACTAAATTTACTCAAATTATGAGATATCGTTCTTGCGTTTTGTTGTATACGCTTATAATTAATTTTATATAGAATGCATTACAACTGTATTAAGAATTATGAAAAGAAATCGTTTTTTGACAATGAATAAAATTTTATTTATTATATCGATATTATTATATCTCTCATTTTCATTGAGATAACTCACATATTGGCTGATGCGGTATAAAACCACCCGGAAGTGCAAAAATCTTTATATTAGGTAAATGAGGGCTATAGGAAATATTGATCCGATTCAACCAATTTTTGACACCAAAAAATTTACTATTATCGAGAGTTTCATTTTGTTTTTATTATATGAATTTCAATTACACCTATATCTTACACATTGACCGATATTTTCGGTAAGAAGTCAACTATAAACACGGGTCCACATATTCAAGACCTAAGAGCTTGAACAGTTTTGGTTCGATTTAGACAATTTTTGATCACAAGGTAGCATACTTTAAACGCATTATTCACGCAAAGTTTTACCCCAATACAATCTTTTTTGCTTGATCTGCATCAGATGGAATTTTAAATGGTGTTATAGGCAAATAGGCGTGGTTGTAATCCTATTTCATCTATTTTCACACTATAACATAGAAATATGAGAAGAATGCTATGTACCGAAGTTGGTTGAAATCGGTTGAGCAGATCCCAAGATATGGAGTTTCACCTAAAAGTGGGCGGTGGCAGGCCCACTGTCTAATTTTGAACGCGGTTTCTATAAAGTTATCTGATACCCTCCTAGAGTTAAAATTTAATGTATCTGGCGTGTTTAGTGCTTGATTTATCGCGCTTTTAGTAGTACTGTTATATGGGGAGTGGGCGGGGTTGTCACTTAGTTCACCCATTTTCACACTGTCGATAGAGGTGCTTAAAATATTTGTTCTCAGTGAATTTTGTTATTATAGCTTTAGCGGTTTAGGAGATATGCACATTAAACCTATTAGGGGAGCGGATCCATGCCCACTTTAAAAAAAATGTAACTGCAGATGCCCCTCCCTAATGTGATCATGTGTATCAAATAACAGTCTTGTATCTTATTGTGGGGCTTAGTTATGGCAATTTATTTGTTTTTGATTAATAGCGTTTTGTGGGCGTTTACGCCCATCTACAATACCAACCGTCTTACGGTACGAAGAAACCTGTGTACCAAGTTTCATAAAGATATTTCTCGTTTTACTCAAGTTACAGCTTGCACAGACGGACGGACAGACAGTCAACTCGTTTCGTCATCCTGATCATTTAGGTGATACAATCAACTGTTAGGTGAACACTACATATTATGATTTTCGTTCCTCTGGTTGACGTTTTCTCTTCAAATTATTATATTAAATTCAGCTTCTTTAGTTGAGTTTAAAGACGATTTTAGTTTAAGTTGACGCGATTTATATACGAGGTGTGTTCAAAGAAAATGGAGAACTTTAATTTTTTCGCGGGCTGTGTACATTCGTTTATCGTATTTTGTTTTTGTTATAATCGGACACATATGTTTATCATGTGCTTGCATTAGGAGCCAATTTCGATTAGTATTGTAGTTTGTTTTTGACAACAGAAAAGGTTAGTCACATTTTTGAGTGCTCTTTGATTTTTGACTTTTGTAAGAAATTGATAAAAGAGAATAAAGTGCTCGAAGGCGCTTGAAATGTTAACTGTGGTGAATGTCAGTGAGTCCACTTTGTCTGAAAACAGTGTTTATGACTGGTGCAAGCGCTTTACAGAAGGCCGAGAAGATGTTGATGACGAGGTGAGCATCCTGGAGGTGCGACCACAAAACAAGCGAAGAAAACATCGCAGCAGTAAAAAAAATTGTTCTTGAAATTCGTCGAATCACTATTAGGGAAGTTGCTGAGGATGTTGGCATATCAATCGGCTCATGCCATTCAATTTCTCGAATGTTTTGGGCATGAAACGTGTGCGAAGTTTTGAACAAAACCAATGTTTCCTATTCATGCCTCAACCACCAGATTTGGTTCCCTGCGGCTTTTTTCTATTCCCAAAACTGATTAAACCAATGAAAGGAAAGCGTTTTGCCACAATTGATGAGATCAAGTCAGAATCGAAGAAAGAACTGATGGCCATATCGAAAAGCGCATTTCAGAAGAGCTTCGAGGATTGGAAAAAGCGTTGGCACAAGTGTATTATATCCGAGGAGGATTACTTTGAAAGGGACAAAATAGATATTGATAAATAAATAAGTACTTTAAAAAAAATTCAAAATTCACCTTTTCTTTTGAATACACCTCGTATTAATATTAATAAATCCAAGTGAGTATATGATTTTGTACTCTATTCACGATGTCGTTGAACAATGAATGTTGAATTCTTTCGCAACATTTTTTAATATGAAGTTTTGCTAACACCTGCGGGTTACTCTGTATTGAGATGCACTCTGTAATGCGACTTTCACAAATAATTTTCCCTTTCGCATTTGTAGCGCTCTGTTATTCGAATCAAGTTGTCAAACCAAGATGACAATAGCATTTTTCTTGCTACAACTCAAAAGCATTCGCTGCTCAAAAAAAATGTATCGTCTTATTATTTTATATTTATTATCTTATGCTTCTAGCAATATTTAAAACTCCAACACTTAGTTAATTATCTACAAAGCAGCTTGAGGCTCTTCGACTTACATGACAGTACATCAATTACTCCCGGAACACCTGACTTCATATAGAAACTTCTGCTGACATCGGCTTTCTCTTCATTTGTTATTGAAAACACTATGTGTCTTAGGCACAGCACTTCTTCGATGGTATTGTAAACATCAGCTGGATACCTTTTTTGCACCAGGCCTTGTAGCCATTCTGACCAATCGAATGTTGGTATCCGCCCTATGCAAGCAATTTTAAACTGGTCAAGCAACAGCTTTATTATTGCTCAAACTGCAGTGGACCTTTGTGGAGTTTATAATTCGCCTTTATGCTTTCCAAAACATATAAAAATTTCTCCTTATTGAGGCGAAACTTTTGTATAAAGCTAGAATTTAAAACACATTTGTTTTGAAATGATTTTTTTAAAGGATAATTTCAGCCTACCTTTTGTCACTTAAGGATATTAGAATTATCTCTTATAATTTTACGTTTACCTCTTTCTAATTCCATTCCAAATGATTATACAAATTAACAATAACTTTCACAAAGTTCTCCAAATTGTTTTTTTTTGTTATTTTTTGACATTTTTATCAGTAATGCTAACTTATACAAATATCATTCACAAAAATTGAGTGAACTGCAGAGTCCCAAATGATTATCGAATCACATTGTAATGTAATGTGTATCACATTACAGAGTAGACCCCCGGCTTTGATCTTTGCAAGTTGCAAGAATATAAAATGTTCGGTTGTACCCGAGCTTAGCTCTTCCTTACTTGTTTAATATAAAGTTTTGCCAACAGGTATTTCTCCAGCTTTGACCTTTGCAATAGTATGAAATGTTCGTTTATATCCGAACTTAGCCTTTCTTTACTTGTTTGCGTATATGTTAGGGAAAATTTAGGATTGTTTACTTGTAGGTTTATACAATGTTTTGTATATATTTCCATAAAGTCAGTCGTTATTATATTCTCCAAACTTTAATGTATACAGTTATAACTTATTTTAATAGAAAGTTTAAATTTGATTAAACAAATCAAAATTACATTATGCGTAACAGAATTTTTGAATAGTGATAGCAGAGAATGTTGATGAGTAGAGAAGGAGCAAATGTTAGCAGTACTAAAATGTTAATTGCTCATCAACATTCTCTGCTATAAGCAATAAGTGTTAGGTTGTTGGAATTAGAAGTATTAGATTAGAATATAGCATTAAATTGGGACTTTGATTTAACAATGCAGTGATCGAACTCAAGAATGAGTTACAAGGTAGACGATTTGTCGAGAGATCAGTTACAATTTGTGTCAGAAGTGGGTTTGTCAAATAAATTCTCAAAGAGAAAAGTGTTTTAAAATGGCAAAGTTTAATGATTTGAAGATTCCACAACTAAAAAAGGAGCTGGAGCAACGTGGTTTAGCGACAAAAGGATTAGAAAATACAATAAAAATAGAAGAAAAGGAAGAGACGCGCTCATCAAAGGATATGTCAATGCAGATATCAACGGAGATGTCAACGCAAATATCGACACAATTTAAAGAGCAGGATGCACGTACAACCCAACAAATAGCAGAGGTGTCATCACAAATGTTGGCACCACGATCCCAATTGTCCTCGTTAGAAACACGGTTGTCACGCAGTTGGAAGAGCATTTCGAAGCACAAGATGCACGTGTATCAGCACAGGTGTCCTAACAGTTGGAAGAGCAGTTCGCAGCGCAAGATGCACGTATATCTGAACAGGTGATTAAAACTGAAGTGGATTAATTGAAATATCGTCTCCGCGAGCTACAATTAAATCGGCCAATCACGTCAACAGCTTCTGCCAAGGTAAAATCTCCATTCTTTGATGGCTCTGTTCTGATCCATGTTTTTAAACTTAAATAATTGGAATGCTGAAGATAAAGAAGCTGCATTGTTCTGTGCATTAAAAAGATCTGCGGCGGAGATATTACAGACCATTCCAAACTGCGAAACGAGTAGTTATAAAACGTAGAAAGACGGTATGGTAGTAAGCACAGGAAGCAGATCTTCCAAATCTAGTTGAGAAATTGGCCAGAAAGGCAAGAGTTTTCTACAGAGATTGAGAGGTTAGCTCACTTAGCTTATGCACATAAATCCGTGGAATACATAGAGGACACGAAAATTTAGACCATCGTCAATGGAATACGAGATAATACTTCACGCTTCGCTGCGTTGACGTTTTCGTATGCTCTGACACAGAAACCTGCATCTCTGTTTAGCAATCAAACATTTAAAGCACATAAAGTAGAAATAGATTAACACACTTGGGTGAACAAATTACTTGAAAAAATTGAAAACATGCAGAAAGCACTGAACAAATTTACAGAAGCGTGTAATAAAAATGATGGTGTGGGTAAATGCTTCATCTGCGGAAAAAGGGGTCATATTGCACGCAACTGTAGCTAGTCTATTAATAATGATCAAGCAAATGTCAAATCCAACCTTCTCACACTCAAGTTCTGGGAAAAGTAACGTGCGAGATCGTAATTGGAAAGGCAGCCGTATTAAACAATTTTATAATGGCGGATATCGTCGACGAAGTCATAATTAAAGTAGACTTTCTATCGAATCAAGGAACCAAAATTGACATGGAGAACAGGATTATGACCTATACAAATATGGAAGTGCCACTTATGTTCGGTTACGATAATAAGTACAACGTTAGACGCGTGATAGAAACAGAGAGCCAGCAGATTCCACCAAAATCAGAAGCAGTTATTTGGACAGAAATAGGTGGAGACTATGTACCAAACAAGTTGTGGATTGTTGAGGCCACAAAAGAATCTACACCAAACTTACTTTTAGGCAAAACTCTGGCTATGACAAGGCAAGATAAACATGTTACAGTAAAAGTACTTAATGACAACACATCTTCTATCAAACTCTCCAAAGGAGCTATATTAGGGCAGTGTCAAGAGATTGAGGCCATGATAAATTGCGAAATAGGTCTTGTGGAAGATTTCATGGATAAAAACGACATATCGAGCGAAATAATCGCATGGACCGAGGAACTAGAGGCAATACGATCAAAATATGGCTAAACAACTTCTTCTCAGATACTCCACCGGGAAAAACCAGGAAGAACCAAAGTTGTGAAACATTTTAGTGACAACCGAGGGCAATTGCACAGCTAAAGAAAAGATAGAGGCAGTAAAAGACTGGCCACTAGATAGTAGCTACAAGCTTCCATGGACTCACGAAAAGAACAGAGTTTTTGAAAGGAATAAAGGACAGGAAATGGCTTTCCAAATTTCCAGTTGAATTGAGAGACTCCGAAGTTACGACTTCTCTACATCGCAAAGGTACTATTTATGGAAATGCTGATGCCATGTCCGCCGTCTCGAAAGCTGAAGCCAAAGAAGACATTATAGATGTCCGATTATTGACTATAACATCAGACTTGAATTCGGTGGAGCTACGGAGCAAGATCAGCAAGAAGATCCAGATTTGAAAAGTGTAATACATGGATTGGAGATGAATAAACGTCCAAAAAGAGAAGAAATAGCTGCAGAAAGCCCAGTCGCAAAGGCTTATTTGGCACAATAGGCTACGGAGTGGATCGCCAATTATAAAAGTGCATTGCTGATAAAGGGCCGAGGTCCAATAGTCATGGTTAGATTAAGCGTACAATTCAGGTACGCCGTTTGAGCGAATTACCAAGGATAAGCTGGTCTATTTCTTATCAGTGAATCAGGGAACAAATATGTTTTGGTAGTCAAGGACTATTTTAGCAAATGGACCGAGGTGTACGCAATTCCTAACCAAGAGGCAGGAACAGTAGCAGATGTATTCATCAACAATTGGGTATCGAGATATGGTGTTCCAAGAGAATTACATTTTGATCAAGGGAAAAATTTTGAAACTGGGAATCGGGAAAACACGTATAACTGCACTACATTAGTACGATGGCATGATAGAACGATTCAATCGAAATTTGGAAGAATATTTAAGAAAAGTTGTTTACAAATATAAAAAAGATTGGGATACCCATATATCCTTGTCTCAGATGTCTAATCGGTCTGCTCTACATGAAATAACAAGGCAATGGTAATGATCTTCGACTACCGATTGATTTGAAATTTGAAATTAACGCCAACGGAGGAAGGAATGCTAAGGAAGTCAACATCATTCTAGAAGACGAAATGAGGGATATATATGCTATGGTAAGACAGCGCACCAAAATTATGAGCGATTAAATGAAAGCAAAATACGACAAGGTAATGAACTCTGAGGGTTTTAGAGAAGGAGATAGAGTATTGTTATATAACCTACAACGAAAGCAAGGGCCAGGTTATTAAACGACTCAACGATGTAGTGGATCGCATACAGACCATTGGAATATCTAGGAATAAAATGCGGTAGTTCATCTGGAATGGCTTGCAGCGTTTGATACCGCAAATATATCGGGACGAACAGACTTAAGTGGTGAACACGAATACCAGAAAAAATCAAAATCGACGATAACCTGCTAGAACCAAAAAGACAGCGAATTCATAGTTGACTGAATGTTCGAAAGGCGAAGTTTTGGTAAAGATCTACCATATAAGGGCTGCCGGATTGTGCAACAGACACAGTTCTAATTAGAGTCTTGCCGTGTAAAGAGCAATTAAGCTATAAGCAATAAGTATTAAACTCGAAAAGCGAGCACTAAGTGTTAAGTTGTTGGAATTTGAAATAAAGATAAGCGTATAGCCATTAAACTGGGACTTTAATTTAACAATCCAGTGATCGAATTCAAGAGTGAGTTAGACGATTAATCGAGAAATCCGTTACAATATGATGTTGTTCTCTTTTGTCTTAATAGTTATGGACATGTTCACACATGTTTTAAGTAGTACACTATAAAATATATAGCATAAAAAACTTTGAGGGACAAATCGTAGCGCCTAGCATTTCACTAATATGATTTAACACCGATTCATTTTAATTCGACTGAAAAATGTTCTCATTTTGAGTGCACATGAATAGGGACAGAGGCAATTGCTTTACTTCAGGAATAAATACGGTTGCGTTAAGTGGCTGATTGATAACTCTTGTAATTCTATTTGAAAAAAAAGATGTGTCGGGGTAAAGCTCTTACAGCAGACGTAAAGGGAAAAATATTGGCATTTTAAGAGTGCAAACTTACCTACCGAGAAATTGCAGAAACAATTAAAAGAAGCAAAACAGTTGTAGGCAATTTTCTTCATAATATCAAAAATTATGGTAAGAATATGAAAGGACGCACTAAAAAAATGGTTACGTTCTCTGAGCAACGGCGGATTATTCAAGCAGCTTTAAACTCGCATTGTTCTGCTGAAAAAAATCGGTCAAAGTTGGGTATAACCAAACAATGTTAATGAATATTTTAATTAGTAACACTCTCTGGTATAACTGCAAGTGCTTACAGAATAAGGCGAGTTATACGCAAAGCAAACACACATAAAAATATTAAAATTGAAACTAAAAATACCCACTTAATAAACTGCGTAAAAATGCTCGTCAGCTTTTCGCTCGGAATCACATGACGTGAAGTAGTGCATGGTATCGAGTTGTATTTACCGACGAAAAATGTTTCAACTTGGATGGATCTGATGGCTTCAACTACTATTTTCATGAC